TGACACGTACTGCATAAAAAAAGAGAGTTACAAGAGGCAACGATTTCGGGGAATTCAAGCGTTGTGGTTGGATGCTGGCGGTTGTCATGATGGATGGATGGTGGCAGGCCGCAGTGGCTGAGTCCAGCTGGTACCGTACCTGTGGTGGTGTACTAACGTAGTAGCAGCCCAGCCCAGGCCAGATGAATCCCGCTTCCCCACCTTTGAATAGAAGTTGTTCCCCTCCAACAACAGGTTCAAGTTGAAACAAGAAGACGCCCATCTCTCGCTCGTCTTCATCTCCGACATCTGTCAAGGAGCTCCCAGTCATTGCATCTCGCATCTTGCTTTTTCCTCTCGGTGCAAGCAAAAGCACCGCGTCCGCATTGACATTGACAACACACCACCCAGATCTTGGCCCCCTTTCCCCGCCTCCAACTTCTCCGGCGATTGGTAGTCGGCCCAACATGTCAGAGGCTGGCGACAGGTAAGCTCTCCATCACATCCCCGTCCCAGCTTGCGATTGCACAGGACAAAAGCTCTGCCATCTCCTGCTTTGTCATTGCTGCTGCTTCTGCTTGGCTCTGTGATGCAGATGCACCGCAGAATGGGCCACATCGCATCTTTAGCCCGCCCCCCAGCATAAAGTCAGTCCACCTACTGACCGCTGTTTATCTCTCCCCCTCCAGCACCCACAAGCGGTCCAAATCCGCCGCTGCGCTCTCCCTCCTGCGGCGCAAAGACACCCGAGAAGAAGAATCCGGTTCCGAAGACGGGAGGGCCCCGAGAACTCCTTCCTCCTCCAACCCTGTCCTCTCCATGGCGCATCAAACCAGCGTCCGCGGCCATGGGCCAAAGCCCTCCATTTCGGGGAGCGGCCTCTCGCCCGTCAACTCTTCTCATCAGTATCAGCAGCAACACCAGCAGCAGCCGCACAGGTTTGCGCCTACGCCTCCTCAGCCCGACAAGAGCACCGCAAGCCTCGAGCAGTCTGTCCGCAAGTTCAGGGTCGTTGAAGCCCTCCGCAGCGGTGACACGGCATCCATATCTCGCGTCATCAGAGAGACGGCCGAGAATGGACCTCGATCGAGTATCTCATCCGTAGGCACCTCAGGAGGTGCCCTTGACGACACAACCATCCTCCACCTGGCCATCCAGTGTGCCGAATTTCCAGTCATCGAGTACGTCCTGTCCGACGGGCAGGGCTCCATCGATGTGAACGCCCGCGACAAGGAGGGCAACACCCCGCTCCACTTGGCCGCAGTCCAGGGCCGAACCACCGTGGTCAAGCTCCTCCTGGAGCAAAAGGACATCAACGACGCCATTGCGAACGCACAGGGTAAACTACCACTCGATGTGGCCCGAAACCCCGAGATTTTCCAACTCCTCCAGCTCTCGCGGTCGCTTTTCGCCGAGGCCAAGGTCAAGCAGGTCCAGGAGCTGATCGAGCGGGGCAACTATGGTGCGCTCGCTGGAGTCCTCGAGGAGCACCGTGTCAAGACCGTCCTCGACATCAACAGCCCTGAATTCGCCTCTGAGCCTTTCACCGTCCAGACCGGCGGCACTCTCCTCCACGAGGCTGCCCGAAAAAGAAATACCAACCTCATCCAGGTTCTCCTCCTCCATGGCGCCGACCCGTTCCGCCGCGATCGAAAGGGCAAGCTGCCCCAGTCCGTGACCAACGACGATGCTACAAAGGCTATATTGAAGCGTTCGCCCGCAGCCGTTGCCGCCCAGCGCGGAATCCAGGAGAAGGCCGTGCTTGGGCAGGCTGCGTCTCAGGGCGCAGCTGGCTCGAGTTCTGGCGACCCCCTGGCCGGCCGAGAAGCTCGCGAGATGAAGGGTTATCTCAAGAAGTGGACAAACTACCGAAAGGGCTACCAGCTTCGATGGTTCGTGCTCGAGGACGGAGTCCTCAGCTACTACAAGCACCAAGATGATGCGGGTTCCGCATGCCGCGGCGCCATCAACATGCGAATTGCCAAGCTTCACATGAGCCCGGATGAGAAGACCAAGTTTGAGATTCACGGCAAATCCTCCGTCAAGTATACCCTTAAGGCGAACCACGAAGTTGAGGCCAAGCGCTGGTTCTGGGCTCTGAACAACTCGATCCAGTGGTCCAAGGATCAAGCCAAGGAGGAGGAGAGGCGAGCTGCTAGGGGTGCCGAGCTCCTGAGGCAAGCCAAAGCCGACCCCAGCACCCTCTCTCTCCAGGAGTCACATAGCGAGAATACTAGCGTGACCGACCTACGAAGAAATAGCTCTCAAATCGCCAGCCGATCTTTCTCCAAGGTCTCTTCCGTCGACCAGAGACCAAACTACCCCGGCCCCGGCACCATTGGCAGCCTCGAGGACGACGACTTTGTTGACGTCCAGACCGACGTGGATACGAACCGAGGACCCAGGAATGGAGGTCCTAACACGCATAATGATGTTGATGACGAAGATGATTACGGTGACGACATGAGCATGCACGAGGAGCCTACTGCTACAAAGGACGCTCTTAACATTACGGCGCAGTCGGCCAAACTCCAACTCGAGACCATGTCTCACGTCCACCAGGCTATGCTTTTGGAACTTGCTCAGAACCCCAACACCATTCTTTCGGATCCCAACATTTCCCAGGCGCTCGGCACATACGATGCAGCCATTAGAAGCTTGTCAACTCTCGTGGCAGACCTGCTACGGATATCTAAGGATCGCGATGCCTACTGGCAGTACCGCTTGGATCGCGAGGCCAACATGCGCCGTATGTGGGAGGAGAGCATGGCACAGGTAGCGCGTGAACAGGAGGTCCTTGAGGCCCGCGTTGGTGAAGCAGAGAAGAGGCGGAAGGCAACAAAGCGAGCACTGCGCGAGGTTATTGAAAGCGGCATCCCGATTGCTGAGCCCCCCGTCGAAGAGACGCTAGTCGAGGAGCAACTCGATGACGACAGGGAGAAGGAGGACGAGGAGGGAGAATTTGAGGACGCAGCAACAAAACTGCCACCGGCAGTACCCAAATCACCTACTCTCAAGACGCTTCGGAGGAAACCTACAGTTATTGTCGACCTGTCCGAGAGCGAGTCTGAAGAGGAAGATGAATTCTTCGACGCCGTTGATGCCGGCCACGTGGAGGTATCTGAACTTCCTGTGGAGGAGACCAAGCCAGAGACTCAAGATATTATCGTATCTGGAGGGTTGGACATTAGTCCATCCTTCAAGGGCTATGAAAACGGTATCAGAAAGAGACTTAAGATGGACGCTGACGACCGGCCCAAGATTTCTCTCTGGGTAAGTAATTTGAATACAGTTAAGTCTACGGTGCTAATAATGAGTAGGGTATTCTGAAGTCTATGATTGGAAAGGACATGACCAAGATGACTCTCCCTGTATCGTTCAACGAGCCGACCTCGCTCTTGTACCGTGCCGGTGAGGATATGGAGTACGCCGACTTGCTGGACCTTGCTGCGGACCGAACCGACTCTATTGAACGACTCATCTACGTTGCGGCTTTTGCGGCTAGTGAATACGCTTCGACCATTGGCCGCGTTGCCAAGCCATTCAACCCCTTGCTTGGAGAGACGTTTGAGTATGTGCGACCTGACAAGAATTACCGCTTCTTTATCGAGCAAGTCAGCCATCACCCTCCGGTTGGTGCTGCACATGCCGAGTCTCCCAAGTGGACATATTGGGGTGAGTCGGCAGTCAAGTCCAAGTTTTACGGCAAGTCTTTCGATATCAACCCCCTGGGCACCTGGTTCCTGAAGCTGCGACCTACTGCCGGAGGAAAGGAGGAGCTCTACACGTGGAAGAAGGTTACGTCGTCAGTCATTGGCATCATCACTGGAAACCCCACGGTGGATAACTACGGACCAATGGAAATCAGGAACTGGACCACGGGAGAGGTAGCTCACATCGAGTTCAAGCCACGTGGATGGAAGGCATCCAGCGCATACCAGGTTTCTGGAAAGGTGCTGGACGCCTCTGGCAATGTCCGATTCAGCATGGGCGGTCGCTGGAACTCGAAGCTGTACGCGCGCCTAACGCCTGGCTACGAGGCGGCCGTCGATGAACCCAAGGAGAGCGGTGAGATGCACCAGGGTGGTCTCACTGACCCCAACTGCGCATACCTTATCTGGAAGGCCCACGAGCGACCTACTGGTATTCCCTTCAACCTGACACCCTTCGTCTTGACATTCAACCATATCGATGACCAGCTCCGACCATGGCTTCCCCCCACGGATTCGCGTCTTCGACCTGATCAGCGTGCTATGGAAGATGGGGAGTATGACTTTGCTGCTGATGAGAAGAACCGACTTGAGACGGCTCAGCGAGGACGACGACGTATCCGTGAGGAGCGAGGAGAGGAATTCCAGCCAGCATGGTTCTACAAGACGCGCTGTGAGATTACGGGCGAGGAGTACTGGCAGTTCAACAACAAGTACTGGGAGCAGCGTGACAAGGCCGGCCCGAACGGCGACCCTCAGGTTGCTTGGGAGGGACTGGAGCCCATCTACGAGGACCACGTTGATGAGGACACTATACGGTAACCTCAGACTGGAGTTGATGCTGGACGTAAAATAAATATAGCAAAAAGAAGCGGTTTCGAGAGGTGTTTTTTCTAGTTGGAGTGCGAGGAATGTTGTATAGATAGAGTTTTTAGGATAGTAGCTGCCTGCAATCACACCTTGCCGTTCGTAATATGCATGTATGTTTGAGGATTACAAATGCCGAGATTGTGAGTGATGGCCGGAGTCACGGGCTGCCAAGATGTGATTAGATATTCGGCCGATTCGGCCCCACCCCCGGCTGAAGATCCGAACCTCGGCAAAAAGTCTTGGCTAGGGGTAAAGTTACGTATGAGGCTCGTTGTACAAGGACGACACATGAAAACCGCCATTGTTGTTGTTCTCGTTCCTGAACACATTCATATAACGTAGCACTCCTTTTCTGCTGAGTATTTGTCTCTGCTTGGACATCCACTGTGCTGTAAACAGTACTACCCCAATTATCGCAGCAGAGCCAAGATGTCGCCGCCCATGGAAGATAGACCCACGCTCCTTCGGCCGCCGGAGCCCGACTCCAACCAGTCGCTGATTGAGAACGTGCTGGACGTGACGGAGCTCAAGGTCCTGGGTCAAGTAAGTCCATCAACTCGTAGGACTTGCCAATTCCAACGCTGACCGTACAAGGACGTCTTTACAAACACGCGTCCCCAGTGGCATCCTCCGGGTGCCCGCGGCATCTACGGCGGCGCCGTCATTGCGCAGTGCCTCGCCGCAGCGCAAAAGACGGTGCCAGAGACTTTCCTCGTCCACTCGTGCCACTGCTACTTTCTCCTCGCGGGATCATCCGAGACGCCTATCCTGTACCACGTCGAGCGCGTCCGTGATGGTCGCTCGTACGCGACGCGCACAGTCCAGGCTCGGCAGAAGGGAGCTTGCATCTTCACCACCACCATCAGCTTTGTCCGTGAGGCTACCTCTGATAAAAAGAGACAAGAGGTACGCCATGCGGCGAGTTTGCCAGAAGGTGTGTCTGCGCCGCCGGATAACTGGGATGGTGAGCCTGAGTGGGCTCGTACGGGGCCGTTCCAGAGTCATAGGATTGAGGTTCTGCGGGCTGGCGATCCAAAAGCTAAACCGCAGGACCGCAAGTCTCGACAGTGGATGCGGTCGCGGCAAAAGATCTCTCCGTCAGGTGGACATCAAGCGCATCTAAACGCTCTGGCATACATGTCGGACAGCTACTTCATCGGCACTGTATCCCGCATCCACGGACTCTGGCGGTTCCCCTTTTCTCCAGATGAGGTACCCTCCCTGGACGAAGCGACACAGGAGCAGGTGCGCAGCCTGTGCGAGTTTGAGGGCATGGGTAGTAGCGTCGAGGAATGGCGAGGCCGGCCACACCTGGGCATGTTGGTGAGTCTCGACCATAGCATCTACTTTCACGAGCCGAAGGCCGTCAAGGCCGACGAGTGGATGTTTACCGAGATGGAGAGTCCATGGGCTGGCGATGGCAGAGGCGTTGTTTCGCAGAGGATATTCAGCAAAGATGGAGAGTTGTTGGCTACGTGCTATCAAGAGGTAAGTCTTTGTTCCAAGTACTTGATGTGATCTATGCTAACGAATATAGGGCGTTGTTCGACTCAAGCAAGACGGAGGAGAAAAGAGTGCAAAGCTATAGAACCTTTGGCTGAGTAGCATTCATTATCAAGAGCGTTTGTAATATTGTTGAAGAGCGAGATAGAAGGTTTTCACGGTTGGCCTGGATACGATTCAAAGTTTACAACTGATAATTCACACAAGTTTTCTTTTTCTAGAGTGAAGTAAACGCCTGTTCATTTGTTGTCTTTGTGGTTCCAAGAACAATGAAGAGTGCTCACATGTAAACCAGCGGAACAAGCATCAACTGACGTATCATGCAGACTATGCATGTCTCCCCTTTATGTTCTAGCAGGATCCAGCTACTCATTTCTTGATCATTGGGAAATAGCCTGCATGCATTGCATCATGCTTCTATGTTCGCAACGAGATTCACAAGAGAGAGGCCTCAAGGTTTTGCATAAATAGCACATTGGGTTGTGAAACTCCCAGAACGACAGCATCTCAGCAACCCTCAACGCAAACACCGCCAAGACAGCTTTCCACCAGTTTTCGTCAGATCAACACCGCTGTTCTTCTCAGCAACACTTGTCAAAGATAATCACCATGTGTCACAAGACGATGGCAATCTTCACGGTGTGTGCGCACTCCCAGAAGGTCCCAACAATCAAGTGCGACATGGCTCAATGGTGGAAGCCCATGCTATACAAGGATCCATGCATCGTCACGAGATTTGCAGAGCTGACCCGCGGTTGGTGTCCCGAGTGCGAAGCCGTCTTCCAGGCCAATGCTGTCAACAGCGGTGTGGCCAAAGACTTTGACCCCCGATCTGCCGAGTTCATCTCGCGGTACTGGGCCTACAAGAGCCAGGCGGGTTGGGTAGGCCCCGTGGATGCCACTCGCTTCCCCAATGATCTGGTTGAGAGAAAAGATGAGATCGTCTGCAACACGCTCGGCGATACTCGATATGAGATTTATGCCCTGCGGCGTGAAATTGAGGTCTACCGTGCTGACAGGATCTGCATTGAGAAGCTCAGTTGCGTAGCCCCCGGCCCAGCTGATTTCCCTGCTATCATCGACAAGGCCCGTCGCCTCACCCTCGAATGGGGTCTCCTTGGCGAAATGGATGAACCCTCGTTCCCTAAACTCAGTTCGTTTCCCCCTAAGTCAAAGGCTGTAGACATGGCTAAACAAGATCAGAAAGGCAAGGCTTCTGAACAGGTTGCCCAATGCGAAGTCTGCAATGGGAGTCACCCTGAGTAGATCCCTGAGAAGCAGCAAGTGAGTAATGACAGAGACTGGTTGGGAAAACGTGTGACGGAGCGAGCCTACCATAGGACTGTAGGTGAGGCGGGTATTACCAGGTTGAGAGGGGGATAGATATCGGAGTTGCGGATAGGCGTGTCGTTAATTAATTGATACCATTATAAATTCCGTTGTTAATATTGATACTGTAAAAGAACTGACGTGACGGTACCTCCTTGTTGCAATTGTATTACTGCGGTATCCGATAGCACGTAGTGTTGATGTGAATAAGGTCTAGTCACGCTTGGCAGGACAAAGAGCCAAGCAGCTGGAACAACTAACTTCTGGTGCATTCCAACAGGCTTGGCTTTTGAACATGGCATTCTCCTTGGCAATCAAGTCTCAGACAAGTCTCGGTTCTGAAATGGGGCCATGGCTGTTATTCAGATGACAAGCCACAGAACCAGGGCGCCCATGAAGCTAGGTGAAAAGGCAGACAGGAGCTTTCCATCGGCTAACGGCGAGACCTGAGTTCAAAGGATAGAACCCATAGACATGACTCAGGTGTACTGCCGTTAAAGTGTCCGTCACTGTTCGAGGTGATGGGAGTCTAAGCGGGGCTGCTCATGGATAATCCATGACGTTGACATCGAGTTTGAGCTACCGTGCGACCGATGTGAGGGAGCACTGCGAGGGGTTGGAGACAAATCCTACAGTAGCTTGTGTAGGTACCTGGTCGCTAGAGTCGTCTTCTAGGCTACTGTCGGTCGTTCGCTTAGAATCACAGCAAAGGCGCTATCGCTACGATATATGGAATCCAAGGAAAGTGATGCTTTTTCGTTTAGCGACGCTTTCGTGTGGCGTAAAGACAAAAAGAAGCCTGCGAAACTCATGCAACCTCGATTACGGCCCTGCCAGGGGAACGCCAAGTCCACTGCATGACAACCTCGTTGCGCCAAGGTCCGAGGCTGAGGTGTAGAGCTAAAAGGCGAGGGTGTCGATACTGAGGCGCAGTAGAAAGGATAGACATAGTATGGATATCATGTGAGTCTAGATGAACGCGTCATTATCGTGATTGGCCCAGTTCGATCCATCTTTCGTCCTGTTTCTGCCTCTGTGTTGAAGACTTGTTGGCTATGACAATGTCTCGGTTCTGCCTTGGTAAGTTGGTGATTGGAGGAAATCCTTATGCAGGTGGAAGAAACGCCAGGTTTAGACCAGGGTAGAACAAGCCTCGGCAGATCCTTTGAAAATGCGCATAATGGGAGTTTGCTTTAACCAGAGAGTGAGTGATCAAGAGATTCTTTTGTTGAAGGAATCTCCATCAAGAGACGGAAGCTTTACAAGTATCTCAGGTACCTCTACCTCTAGGCTGAATCACGCTCAGTGGTACCTTGCCTCTGTAAAGTGGCGCTGGCGCTACCGTCGGTAAGGGAAGGCGCACCCAGTGGGCATGTGGGCCTGGGAAGGTCCGGGGGGCGTCGAGGCGTCGTCAGTGCCTGCAATTTTTAGCTCTACCAGTCTTTGAAACATGGGAAGGTGGTGACTCTGGCTGAGTTAGATATGGAAGTCGATCCCGCATAAATCAGCAACCTCCATTCTTTCTCTTCCCCTTCTCATCCTGCTGAGAGCAAGTGTCGTTTGGTGGATTTTCAGGTGTTGCTCTTAATTCTTTCTTCTCAAATTCCATCCCTACTTTCTTTACTCTTCTTGTTTTACTCGTTTCCCTCTTCTCCGTCGTTCCTTTAATCATCAGGAGGGTTGTCGTCAGATAAAGTTCGGGCAAGCACGGAAGGCATAGACGCTCCGACGACTCCATCGCGAACCAACGATCGATCGACACGATGCGCACGCTCCCCCTCCTCTTGTCCCTCGTCGCGGGAGCTTCAGCTGGCACCGTTTTGGCTCCCGTGAACAAGAAGAAGCTGGACATCCCATCAACGCTCCACAAACGCGACGGTACACTGAACCTCGATGGCTTCAACAACATCTCGGGCGGTGGCTACTACGCCAAGTTCGAAGTCGGCACGCCGCCTCAAGAACTCAGTTTCCTCCTCGACACGGGCAGCAGCGATACTTGGGTGAATTCGGACGACACCGACTTGTGTAACGACCCTGAGTTGCAGGCTCAGATTGGCTCATGCTACGCCACATGCATGTTCACCACACGATGCGCATACGGCGACACCCAGCTGACATCATGACAGTCAACCCCGATGACAGTAGCACATACAAAGTTCTCGATCGCAATGGCTTCGACATTAAGTATCTTGATAGCCGTCGCATCGAGGGCGACTACTTCGAGGACACCGTAACCATTGATGGCAAGAAGATCAAGAAGCAGCAGCTTGGTCTCGCCGTCACCTCTGTCCGCCCAACTGGCATTATGGGCCTGGGCTTCTCCGCTAACGTCGCCGCCGAGAAGCCGTATCCCGCCATTGTCGATACCATGGTCTCTCAGGGCTTGATCGAAAGGGCGGCTTTCAGTCTCTGGCTCGTATGCCACCCAGTGCCTCCGCCACTCCGACACAGTCCAACTAACGTGGGTTACAGAACGACCTCTCCGCCGATGATGGAAACATCCTTTTTGGCGGTATCGACAAGTCCAAGTTTGTCGGCAAGCTCGCTACCCTGCCCCTCGTGGCTTCAGCCAGTTCCTTAGACGGCAACGTCACCTCGTTCGCCGTCAACATCAGGAATATGGAGGTCACGATACCGAGCGGCCAAACCAAACTCAGCCTTGAGGGCTTGGGCTCCGGCTCTGTTGCCATCCTCGACTCTGGCTCCACCATATCCCTTATTCCTGACAGCCAAGTCAAGGATATCTACGACCGCTTCGACATTCTCTCCCTCGGCTCCAGTGCGGTCCCCTTGGTTGACTGCGCCTACGCCAATGACAAGGGTGATGGCATCAGTTTTGAGTTCGAGTTCAAGGACAAGACCATCTCAGTCCCCATGGACGAGATGGTGATTAATGCCTTTGCAGACCAGCAGAGCGCATTCGAAGACCCGCGATTAGACCAGTATTTTGGTGACTGGGATGGTGTCTGCATGTTCGGCCTCAGCGCCGCCAGCAACTACGGTGTCAGTCCCAAGGGCTTCTTCCTCCTTGGCGACACATTCCTGCGTTCCGCCTACGTTGTCTACGATCTTGCCAACGAGCAGCTGGGCATTGCTGAGGCCAACCCCGGCTCCAGCAAGAGCGACATTGTGGAGCTGAACGCTGACGACAAGGATTTCCCTGATATCCAAGGTGTCGCCAGTAAGTCCACCTTCAGCCCTACTGACGCTTCCTCTACTACTGGCTCCCGCCAGACTGTCACCGTCACCGCCGGATCTGACGCGTCCTCAGGCAAATCCGGCGACGACGATGACAGTGCAGCTGGCCACCTGGTCCCTGCCCTCATGGCTATGTTCATGATGGGTTTGGGTGCTTTGGTGACAGTTCTGTAAAAGGGTTTGGGCGGGAGTTCAGTGTTTGAGGATAAAAAGCCGGCTGGCGTAGGGCATGCATTGCAGCATAGCATGGACTGATGTATTTCGCTATCACATCCATTTCGGGGGCAGAACCCCCCGTGAAAGTTTACGTCTCACGACATGTATATACGATACCCCTTGTTGGAAAGAAACATGGTCATATTTGCACACATCAACAACCATTTGTACATGATCCTACCCCCTGCCTATCTCAACCCTGATACTCGCACAACTAGACACACCAGATACTTGATTGTTCGGTTTAAAAACAAGGCATATACAGCCTGCTGGATTCACTCTACTATCCACTGCTTGGATCAAGGGTCAGGCCAGTACACACATCATATAGATAGATCGCTTTGTTGTTTAACTCCTAATCCATTTTAATTCGCAAACCCCGAGACCGTGACCCATGTGCACAAGTGCATGCCCCAACGCCCAATCTATTCTATCATCCCTTCCTTGCTTTGATGAGACGATTGCCCTATCCCATCTTGTTGTATCGCTCTCTGGCCTTGTCCTGCACCGTGTTCACGTAGTCGGCGTAGCTATTCTTGGTCTTGCGTTCAGCAACCTGGGCTGCATCACCAAGATTACCGCCCTCTGCACCGAGACCGACACCCTCCTGGTAGGCATTGGTCACGATCACGTCGGTTCGCCCGTCTCCATTCGCACCCAGGCCTGCACCAGTTGCCCAGCCCATCTTGGCGAGCATGCCAGCGCCCTTTGACTGGGCTGGCTTGGCTGGCGGGGCGGGCTCCTCTGGCTTCGACACCGGCTTTGGCTTGCCTTGTGGTGCTGGAGTAGGCTTGGTGGGCTGGTTGTATGCATCTCGTCTCTCCTTGGCGCGATCACGGTACTGAGAGGCTGCTGCAGCATCCATCTTCTCCTTTGCCTCCTTCTGCAGTCGCTTATCTCGAGCGGCCAGCCTAGGTAGGGCAGCTTTGACCTGCTCCTCATTCGCCATGGCGTTGGCATGGTTACGCGACTTCTCGTGAATGTTGACCTCGTCTACTGATTTGTACTTGCGCATGCAAATCAGACACATTAGACGATCACGGTCAACGTATGAGATTGGTGGCTTCTCTGCGACATCGGCAGGAGGCTTCGGTGTGGTGTCAGACGAAGCCGGTGTCTCAGACAGAACCGGGTTGCTAGAAGCCACAGGCTCAGGGGCTCCAACCTTGGAGGCTCCAGATATTGAGATCTTGATCGCAGATTGAGCTTTCGGTCCATCAGCTCCGCTCCCTGACAGCGATATCCGCAGAGGAGTTCGGTTGACGTCGCTCAGCTCAGGCTTATCAGACCCTTGATCGTGGGCAACGCGGAGCTCATCTCTCTTTCGTTGCCACATGGCCATCTGTCCAGCCATCGGCACCATCTTCTTGGTAGAAGACGCAAGCAGACTACCATCTGCCTTGCGCTTCTTTGGCTTCTTGTCATTCCCTTCATCAGTGGGTCGTTTCGAGATGCTCTCTCCCTCCGGAGGTTGCGTAGTGACCACCTGTTGGCTGGGGTAGACGTGAAAGTCTCGGTAGCAAACACGAATGGTCGGGTTGAACAGAGGGTTGAAGGACAAGTGGTCAATCTCGGGTGTCACCTCCCGTTGCTCAGGCACAAAGACGCCCATGTGCGTGCTAGACACAGTGACCGGACAGGCCGCAACAGTGAACGACCGTGACTTGCGGAATTTGGTCATGGCGGCTGTGGCATCCTTCACTGTCCAGAATTCCGCAAAGCCGTACTTGAACGATTCGTTGGTGTTTACGTCGCGCATGAGGAATACGCGATGCAGGGACCCGGGTCTGGCACCGTAACCTGTCGTGTCACCAGTTGGCGCTGTCGACTTCAACTTAGGCGCACCATTTGAGCTGTCTTTAGGGTTCACTGGTTTCACAAGCTCCAGGCGCTTCATGTCGTCCGCCAGCATGCTCTCGTTCACGAATGACGCCAAGGGGTAGACAACGAGAATCTGAGATGGCACGTCGGCAGCATCTGCCACTCCGGTAAGGCTCAGTTGCCACGCTGGGGCTGTTGTAACATGTTCAGCACCGATGTAGTGAAGAGAGCAAACACAACTTACCGGCTTGAGGACCACCGCATATCTTACACTTGGTCCGAGTAGCATAGTTGGAAAAGTCACACTGGCTTTGGTCAGCCCAAGAAGCGCATATTCGTAGCAAGAGACCTACTGTAGGGCAAATCCAATTATCGCCAGGGCCTCCTCGAACATCAGACTCATCGCGAGTGTCTCGGCTCCGAGCGTAGTGAATATACGCATCAAACTTCCCTTCTGGTACGTCATCAGTGGGATGCGACAATTCAACGAGAAGCTTTGGATAATGCTCTCTCATAAAGTTAACTGCATGATCGACTTCCTGGAACTGAACAAACGCCCTGCGATGCCCTATCCGACTTTGTCAGTGACGGCCAGCAACAAGCGCCCAGTTGTAGATCTCACCCTTTGAGGCTGACACGCGCACGTCGATCGAGGGGAACTCGGCGGCAATCGAGTTGCTGAGAATACTTTCTCGCAGCTGCAGGCTCTCCAATTAGTCTTGCGAACTGATACACTGGCCGGTGATCGGATATGGAGCTCGGCGCCGTTGTTCGTGGTCAGGACAAGCAGCGCGGAACAGATAACACCTGAACAAGCGGTTTTCCAACTCAATGACCAAAAGGTATTTCCAGGACTTGGATTCACTTGCTCAGATCGGTAGGGTACCAACCTCGTTCGACGATATGCTGAATGGTAGACCTTCGAGTATGACGGTATCGCTAGGCTTGCCGGCCTCGCGCGTTGGGCTGTGGGAGCGGCTACGGTTGTCGTAGCTTCCTGACGGGGACCGAGAGTTGGGGTCATCCTCGTCTCGGTACCGGCCTTTTCCACCTCGGTGCCTCTCGTTCTCGTATCGGTCACGACCATAGTCTTCTTTGCCGGTGTAGCCGCCTTCATCATACATGCCGCCATAGTCGTGTTCGTCTCGGGCATTGTACCGGGGGCCTCGTCTCGAGTATCCATCATCGGAACGTCCTTGTCTGCGATCGTACTCCTTGTCGTAGCGCATGTCGTCGTCCCGGTGTCGAGAGTCTCTCCCCCGTGGTTCGTCGCGGAAAGCTTGCCTGGGCGGAGACCTGGAATGATCTCGCCGTCCCGTGGGGAAGTCAGCCGAAAAGCTCAAATCATCCATGGAGGTCCTTCTCGTGTCTTCCATCACTGCCAGAGGCCCGGGTTGTGTGTTTACCCTGCCGCGATCGGTAGCCGGCGTCTCGTTCGTGGTAGTTGTCGTTTGGATTCATTCTTCCCAGTCGAGCGTTTGCGTCTAGTGATGGTGGTGACGGCGCATACAAGCGAAAGCGCGTACGGTGAATTATTCGTATTCGCGCAAACCAAACAAAAGTGAATGGACAGATAAGAAGGTGAAGAAAAAAGTAAAATGGAAAGTTTGCACGGCGAAATGTTTGTACAAGGTCAGGTTGTTGGCATGCTTGGACGGGAAGAAGTAGGCTGATGGCATACTTCCTAAAATGGTATAGCGCCTATGATGCGCTGCACGAGGTCTCACTGATGTGCATTAAGTCACTCTCAGCATAAATGGATGTGAATTAAGGCTGCATCTCGGTTCTATTGTTATCTCTTGAATGCACTAGAATATCATGATGTTTGATTTCATTCTACTTCATGATACCAGTCCTCCGCAAGGTGCCGTCGATGAGAGTCACACAAGTACCACCAGGTAGATTAGAAACTCTCACCACTCAACAACAAGACAATCTGAAGCCGGGTTTTGGGCTTCGTGTCTCGGCAGTCTCTAGGTCTTGTACGGAATGCTTCTAATCGCTGCATGTGGATCCTTGGAATGGATGCTTCGTTCCAGGTCACCCGGGTCAAGGAAAAAACGAGATACTAATACAATAAACATATTTACTTACTCTTCTCTAAATATAATTAAGAAAAAATAAAGCTCTAAAATATTATAATTATTATAAGATCTTTCTAATAATTTTATAATAAGTATAGAAAATTATCTATTAAATCTTAGATAAGTTAATTAATACTCTCTGCCGTTCTGGTGTCTCGTTTATTTCTTAACCCGCGTGCAGGTCTATTCCATAATTCACATGAACCTAAGCTTACTCCATGGGGCTCTCATCCCCACCATATGTACTGCGTCTGGATACAATATTGCTATGGAAGAAATGAAGAAGACTATTCAGGGCATTTATTACTTAAATAAAACCATTCTCCTTTAAAACATTGTCGTCCAACGTAAATTCTCCTTGGTTCGTTGTCCCCTCTTGGGTACTAGTCGTCAGAAACCCAATCAACCCAATGACATATCCTCCCACTCTTGACGACGACAACTCCAAGGCGAGCTTCACCTCTTCACTATCACATAAACCGTAGTCAAAATGACAGCCTCGGAAAATACTCAAGATGCCTGGGAACTGTCAGACGAAGGCTGTCATGTCGCCCTGACCCATGACCATCTCAACGCCCAGGCCATCATGGACCGTGTGCGCAGCCCCTCTGCGGGTGCCATTGTGCTTTTTGCAGGTAAGCAGCAGCATCACCTCCTCACCTTGATCAGTCATTCAACGACCGCAGGCACAACTCGTGACAACTTTGCCGGCAAGCCCGTCAAGGAGCTCCAGTACACGGCCTATCGCCCGCGCGCCCTGCGCTCCATGCTCACCATCGCGAAGGACGTTCGGGATCGGCACGGCCTCCGCGGGGTCGCCATGATTCACCGGCTCGGGACCGTGCCCATCGGCGAGGAGAGTATCCTGATCGCCGTTTCGGCGCCGCACCGGCAAGCGGCATGGCGGGCGGGCGAAGAAGCGCTGGAGCAGTGCAAGGAAAAGGTCGAGGTTTGGAAGCGTGAGGAATTTGAGGGTGAAGAGGGCGTTTGGAGGGCAAATCGCGATGGAGTCATGGGACAGCGGGAGGGGAAGAGTTGAGCGTTTTTAAACCGCAATTAAGAAAGGAAGGACTTTTTGAATAAAAAAATTCATTCGCTATCATCATATAAACCTTGAACCTAGACATATTCCCCTATCGTCATGAGGTAGGTATCTCCAACCTCCCATGCCCCCCGCCTACCATGCCTCAATACTCCGAACATCCATACCTCCACGGCGAAATCCAACCGCTAACCCCTCATCATTTTATCATAAACGCACCTATCCTCCCATCCTTGAAAAAACGCACTCTCTCTCGACAATGTCTATGCCACCTTGGGTGCGTCGAGCTTGGGCGCCTCCACCTTGGGGGTTTCTTTCTGGTAGACCGGAGGCGGCTCGGTGAGGATCTCGAAGGGGCAAGGAGGGGGGCTATGGCTGCTGCAGCAACTGCCAAACATCACTAGGTATGTGTAAGCTCGAGCCCAAAAACACAATATTAGAGTCTTGTCCAACTTACCGATGTGGCCATGGTAAGCCTCTGTGAATGTGACGTCCATGCCCAACCCTTGGATCTCGATATCTTCTGAGAAGGCGGAGGGGTAGACAATGATTCCGTACTCAGAATGGAGAATCCGCCAGAACTCAAGGGGAAGCCTAGATACTCGGTCAATTCGATCGCAAAGGTGAGCGCATTTCAAGATGCTTACTTGTATTGTCCACGCTTGACACAGGCGTGCATGAAGACGCAGACTGTCTCGAGGACAACACGGCCTTGGTTGACAGCATCATCCAACTGCTGCGTCTCGAGACCGTAAACCCGCTTGAGACGCTCCTTGGAGCAGCGCATAGCGATGGACCACCCCTTGGCAATCTTGTCGATATCCCGCTCGGGCCACTCCGACATGATGACTAGATTTTGATACTTGTTGGGGGGGAAGGGTGGAATATGGGCAATGATGCTGGTGTAAGTGACCCTTGGGGTGGGATGGCGATGTTGCAAGACTTGGTAGAGATTGCACGAAAGAATGCAAGGTGATGGAGGAGAATAAACAGGCACAATGTGGAAAAATAATTGAGCAGCCTCTTTCACTGAGAACCTCTTTGATTCAAGTACCTTTGTCCTGTCCATGCAGGTGCTCACCACATCAACGCGAGTCGCGTGGGAGGAAGCCATCAAGGTGCCTCGGTCCATCAGTCTTAGCAGCATCGACTCCCCACGTCCCTGGCTAAAAAGTCCGTCAAGGTTCGCCAATCACGGTCGTCCGAAGCAGCTCATTGACCCCGGTTCAAAGTTGATTGCGGCTCTGAGTCGGCGTGGGGTCCGTCATGGCTTCCATCAACCATGCAGGAGGGGGAGGGGGAGGGGGAGGGGCAACTAGAGGAACCCTTCTGGCCTGCCTCTTCGTCATCATGTCATGTCATGACCCATTGGGCCGGCTGATCACGGGATTATAGAGGGCAAAAGATCTTGGTAAGAAAATGATGGGATTAGAGTAATAGTATAGTAGTGTGTGGACATGATATAGTCCGTCCATCCAAGGACATATATGTGTAGTAGTCGTGCTAGTAGTTATGTACTAGGTCATCAAAGTCAGATCGCTCATGGTATCTCTTCGCTCCAGATCATTCCAACCCATAAAAATACAGTCCATCTTGCAATGCATCTCCAGACAACTCGCCTCTTACAGGGCAAAGTTCTCAGTGTGCAAGAAAATCTCCTCCAGTTCGTCGTCGCCCCAGATCTCGGCCTGCAGTCGCGCCACCGTGTTGGCGACGCCGACCCTCATGGACGGCGGCCCGCACACAAACACCGCCGTGCGCCGGCCAAGAATACCCCGTCCATCGGGACCGCCAGTCGCCCACTCCTTGAGCATGTAGCCCAGGTCAGGTCGGCCATACTCCACACTCCATCCTCCATCGATCTGGTGGGGCACAGGGAATGCGAACCGCATCAAGCTCTTCTGAAACTCGGTCGGCGTGCTGGCGAAACCAAAGTCGAAGCCCGAAGGGGGTCCGAATGTCGATGTAGGTCGCGGCCGTACCGGTTCCAAATTGGTAGTTCGGAGATGCGCGAGCTCCGGGGCCCGGACCGGCAAGTCTTCTTCATCTCCCGGCCTCGGGTCCTGAGATAGTCTCGGTGGTGCGTAGTTAAAGTGAGGTGGGTTTTCAACGTTTATTGGCCTAAATCGGAATTCTTCCTTTGTAGGCTGATCGTCTTCGTCAACTTCCGGTTTCTTGTCCACGGGATAGCCATAATTATCGAGCTTCTTGAGCGCCTCCTCTCGATTAGTCGGTGGAGGACCAGGTGGTGGAGGCGGGAATTGGTGAGGCTGGAGGTACTTCTGCTGAGGAAGAGCAGTGATGCGATCTTCATCCTCAGCGCGGAGTTCTCTCTCGCGCTCCGGATCACCCTGAGCCTCGGACTGAATCAAGGCCGAGTTTCGCTTAGAGGCAATACCGGCCACAAACCCATCGAGCTTGTCGTGGAACATGTGGCTCAGAACCCTGGGGTTGTTGGGGCCAGCATTGGGAGGGCCCTGGTTGAAGGGGCCTGGAGCATCCATACCAGGGCGTGCTCTAACAGCTGAGGTGACAAAGAACTTGCAAGTGACACTCTCAGGAGGGGCAGCCTCTCGGCAGATGCGCAGCTCCTCACGGAACCAGTCCATCGCCTCAAGTCGCTTCAATGCCCAGACGACAACGACCTTCTTGGTAATGGCCTTGCCATCTCGCATTCTCTTGATAAGATTCAGGAGCTGCGACACAAGCGCAGTGATACCACTGCCTCCCGCAATGAGAATGCAGGTGTCAAAGGCAGCGAGATCACGACGCATGCCACCATAGGGGCCGTCCAGGAAAGCACGATAAGTATGAAACGGTCCCTTGTCAATGGCTGTCTCCAGGACCCGACGAGTAAACCCTCCATAGGGTCGGAAGACGAGAGTACAGTCGCGGTACTCCTCACCATACTCCGAAGGGAAGTCGTCACTACATAGTGAAGCGACAGTAAAGGGGTGGTTCTCAAAGAGAGAGATGCCCGGCATTCGGAGGTAGAAGTATTGTCCGGGCTTCCATCGCTGTTGGGTTGGGATGGTAATCTTGATGGCGTTCTCTGCCATGAGTGTGATGGCAGCCTCGTCGCCAACAAGGAAGGACATGCGCCAGGGCTTGGTCCAGTTGAGCTTGAACAGTCTCAGGAAGTAGGAGAATGCCCAAATGCCGATAGTAGTCCAGAGATAGGCCCATGACATGAGAAAGTTCTTGGTGTGCCAGAAAAGGAGACCAACAAAGAGCATTCCTACTGGGATGTGAAGAAGGACAAACACCTCGTATGCCATTCTCCTGATGAATGGGAGAGACGCCACACAGAGCCAGATAAGGGGCACCAGGCAGGCAATGCCGGTGCCGTAGATGATACCGCTGCCACCAGGAAACAGGCGCTGGAACACTTCCATGCCGCCATCGTCCCAAACGGGCTGGATATAAAAGGGGATGGCGTGGACGAGTGAGAGGAACAGCAGGAGATAGCCCGCCCATCGGTGGAATACGTTGAGTCGCTCAGGGCCGATGCCGATAAGAATGGTCAGGAGGTTTGCCTTCATACTTGTCGCGATGATCCAAGGCACCAAGGCAACACCAATCATGCCCGCGCGAATCGCCAGTGGTGGTGAACCAAACTGGATGCTCTGCCAGTACAGGGGCTGCTGGAGGAAGCAGTAAAGGACGACAAAGATGAGAGAGACGAGGACGGTAGTGAGAACGGCCAGTGACGAAAAGGTAATTCGACGTTTTCCCAATACAAGGTCCGGGATTGGGCGGTAAAAGATCCAACGGAAGAGAGCCAGGGTATCGTTGACAATGCTGACAGAGGAGAAGTGCGCCTTTGGTCGGAATGCCTTCTCACCAGGCACCTCGCCTTCGTGGAAGAGCCGTGGGCTCTGTGCGCCCGGGATTCCGCCAGACATGGCATATTCTTCCTGCATGCTATACAGGTGTCGGTAATGCTCCTCCACCTCTTGCTTGTAGATGGCTTGTCGAATCTTGTCCTGCCAGAGATGCCAGACTCGCATTATGAGAACGGTGCCGATCAAGGCAATGGCGAAGTATGACCATCCTCGGCCATATTTGCCAGACTTTTCCCAAGGATCGACAGTTTGCGCTTGGATGAGACCGGGTGGACTTGTGGGTGTGATGGCGATTTCAATGCGCTTGACCAGGTTTGAGAAGGCCTCGCGGATGTGCAGGTTGGGAGCCATTTCGACCAGCGACGGAGCTCCAGATGAGGACGATAAAAGAAAGAGGCGACGAAGCGCGTTGAAGGTCTTTTCCTAATTCGTCATGAACGGCGGTTATGGTATATAATTCAAGCTGGTGAGTCGGTATGTAAGGGCCTTGGTGATGTGAGACGATGTCGTATCGGCGCCTCCAGTTGCTGCTCTATCAATTGCTGTACGGGTTTCGAGGGTCTATAAGTGCACAATAGGGATAACCGGTCTATGCTACACCGAGTCGAAGAATGCCAGATCCTTCGATTGGATGTAGAAGTGACAGAGGCACGGACGATAAACGAGAGTATACAGAAACACCTTGGTGCTGGGGGGATTTGGGAGAGCAGAGGATTAAAACAAGAGCTACGGTGGGGGCCGTGAGGGCATGCGGTCGGATATATGGCCTCAGGCGATCGGGTCTTCACCGTTCAGCAGACAAGACTAGACCAGGGAACTTGGACAGGGTCCGATGGGAAACGGCAGACGGTGGGTGCCTCTCGTGATATGGCGGCGGCAAAGCTTGTCACCGCGAGCATGGGCATGGGGTGGATAGGGAGAGGTGGGATTCGAGATTCGCCATGTGGAAAAGAGCTTGACCGGTCAAATCACAGCAGGGAAGAGCTTCGACAAGCACCGTAAAGAGGCGCGCCATACTGCGCAGAATGTGAAAGGTCACCCAGGTTTTCCGGGGCAAGCGGCTGACGGAGCATCGATATTGGCTGACGCTCGAAATGCAGTCTCCCCGCCTGTGGACCGCTAATCCGTCACACAGCCGCGAGAGCTGGCGTGGTTGAGCGAGGAACAGACGCAGCCGGCGTGATGATAGTGGATGGGGAGGGTAGCATGCAGGCAAGCAAGAGTGGACGAGGAAAGACGATGGCGGGAGGTGGAGGTCCCGGCTTGTCTGCCGGGGCCGTTGGCTGCGTGCGGTCTGCACTTTCGGGCTGGGGATCGCCGCGATGGATGGCTGGGGTCGGATTTTGTTTCCTCTTGTTTCTTCTGTTTCTCTTCATGTTGGGGGCCGTGGTTATAGGCCTCGACACTTGAACAACCATCAACAGCTTCCATCTTGCGAATGTTATCACGAAATGACTCGGCGCTATACACAATGTCAACAAACAAGGCCTGGACTCGTCAAAGCTGCTAGAGCCTGGGCATTGTGATTGAGTGAATCGAACGAGTAAAGCTCTCAACCGTCGTTGGCTCGTCCCAAAGCCACGGAAGATGAGCGTCTGAGAACGTGGCGGGATTGGATGCGCAAGGTGCATCCGAGCACAGGGTTCCTGGCACTTGCTGCGGCCCATGCGTCCGTCGCCTTTCTCGATTTGCGGTTGGAAGCTGTTGGGGGCCGGATGGGATGGCGGAGGAAGAGGGTGCAGGATCAGAGTGGAGCTCCGAGATGCAAAGCGGTGATGAGGCTATGAGAGCCTCTGATTGGTTCAGAGACGCCGTGACGACCCTTGCGGATGTGCCATGGCTTCTCGAGCGGGCGGCAACAGGCGACTCGCGATTCGCTGCGGCCCGTGAGGGCTTTGCCGGGGGTTTAATCGCGTGCGTCGTCGATTCGTGCACCGTTCCGTCCACTTGTTTTTTCTTCAGTGACGGGCGGTTGGCCTCATTCGACGAAACGGGAGTT